TGACCCTCAATTATGTCATTCAGACCGGTCTGTCAATTGATGTTGGAAAGGTTATACATAACAACATCCTACACACTTTGAGAGGGTCGACTACAGGTGGTTCGGGAAACCCATCGTTAATTTATGAGCTTTAACAGGGAAGTGGGGTTACAACACACCCATCGGAAGAGGTTGTGCATCCTAAGCCGGTAATTACATAGGAGAGGACTTGGAAATTCATGACCCGGTCGGGCTCTACTAGTAGTACACCACCCCCTATGCTGGAAGAACGATCGTCCCGGTAACGTCGCCCAACCCCAACCGGTAACCTTAATACTGACCTTGCTACTCAGTTTCACGTCATGCAACTACAGATGAACCTGATCTAAAATACAATGTACGAATAGTTCCACTATCAAAATGAGTTCAACGTGGATTTTGGCCTCGATATAAGCTGACGAACATTTTCTTAACATCCTTTACTACCTGATCACACTTCAAATCCTGACCCATTTCTACAAGACATCGACGAAAACGATGAATACGCTTAATGTCTTCTATAAGGTTAGTATTTCCCTGTTTTTTCTTTAAATTTCACATTAGGGACCACGTTTAGCTTAAGTTTAGGGGATGCTATTACTTAAATGCCTATATCGTTTAGTCACTTAAAGAAATTTGAGAGCTTGTATTAATTTGTGAATGGTGGATGGATCATGTGGTTGAGTTTAATTTCCGGCTCATCCATGAAAACGTGACAATGATCATGCACGATAATATAGTATAACGTTGTATAGGAACATGAATGTTCATATACATAGGCTAAATAGATGACTTAGGTGCTTAATCCTTTAACCTATGATTCATAACATCCTTTAACCGTATACATAATAATTTGGAGCGTTCTAATCGGTGAAATAAATGATTTAAGATTGTAGTGATTCCGTGCATGTAAAAAAGATTTATGTAGAGTGTGTTCGGCTTTCTAGTATAAGCTTGGTGATGACCAAATGTTAGGGATCTAACCCCCGTAAATTTTGCTTTTCTTTTATAGAAAATAAACACTGCACTTATTAAGCTTATGCCTCACGTCGACACATTTTTTACTCAAATTATTAAGTCCATAAGGGTATCTTTAAACTTGGTATCCTTTGGTATTCAAAAGTCGGGGAGTTACCTACTAAAAACTAGTTACATGGGTCATGAAGAGAAAAATGGGTGAGGACAATATTGGACTGAAAATAAAATATCAAAAAAAGATAAACTTTATGCAAGAGTGCAAGTAATAATTCACGGTTGGGGACTTAGATAATTAGTGGGTTTGAATCACTTAATATAAACTAATTCGTTGAAGCACTAATGAATTGGGAGAATCATCACATGAATAAATTATTGACGTTGTTGGTTGAACGAAACCAAATTAGATGGGTGTAAAGAATTGATAAGTAAAACCAAACTTTAGAATTACACCATGGTGAGAGAATGAAAGAAAACAAGTTTAGGGTGTGTAAATCTCACGAGCGAAGAAATGAAAGAATTGTCCATTGAGGGTTGGTAATTGAACCAACTTGTGAATATACGGTGCTACACTTGATTCTTCACACACACACCCGTTTTGCATTGGATAAGTGGAAGTTTGGCTCTTGCATTGTGATTTTGAAGTATTCATAAATGTGATATAATGTTTTCAAAACTAAGCTAAATTACAAGCTATCTGAATACGTTGGTGTTTGTGTGTTCTTCTCTTTTTGAATTTCTTTTTCTTTGCGTTTCTTCGAAAAGTAGTAAACTGTTAAGTTTGTGGGTATTTGACGAGTGCGTTTTTACTCACGAGTTTTATTCAAATCTAACTTCATTGTTGGCCAAATTTTATAGTTATAATACGTTTTTTTATGTGTTTGCTAGTGTTGTTTTAAATATATGATGAGGTGTGGTAAAAAAAGGTGTTGAAGTGTACAAATAAGTCAAAGTCAAGTAAAAGATACAGCAAAATGGTGCCTAAGTGCCATACTCGGAGCGCCTGGAGAAGAAAAAAAAAAAGACAATAACCCACGTGTTGTAGCTTACCCAGAGGAAGAAATAATTACAGAGATGCAGCGCCATAGTGCTTAGGCGTTGCCCGGATATACCTCGCGACGCCTAGGCGCTATGCAGCAAATGTTAGGGTTATGCTGTTTTAGGCCACGAAAAGCCTAGAAAAACTTCAAAATTGGGGGGAAACGTGTAGGGAAGTATAAATAGAAGAAATGAGGCACGTTTAAGGGGTTCCACGCATTGAGAAAATAAGGATACAACTAAAAATTGAAGAACACAATTCAAAGGAGGAAAATATCAAGGAATTCAAGTTTTGAAGCATTGATTGGAAGAGGAAGAAGATTTTGGTGCAAAATTGATTACTTTTTCTACATCTTTATTCAAAACCCGGTGATGTATTCAATAACAAATTCTTATTTTTTTTCTTCCATCATTATGAGTAGCTAAACTTTATATTAGGGTGAACGATGTAATCTAATTGAAACCATTTATGTCTTTTATTCAAGATTCATGTAATTTTATCGTACTTGTTCATTTTGCTATGAATTTAAAGCATTAAATTACTTGATCACTCATTTGATGATTTGTGAATTTTTTCCGAATCGAGAGATGAGTTTGAAATTTAGACCATATAGTAAAATTCGATATATTACTATAACATGTAGAGATACATATACTAAATATTGCTATCATCACATGAATTATTAGAACTAAGGTAGATTTGCATAGAGATATGAGATTGAAATAGTTAAATAGGTTCAATGAGAACTTGAGATGGGTAAAGTGAATACAATAGAAGAATTCAATCGAACACTACATTAGACTCTTGCATCTTGAATTAAGACTTAAAGGTGATCAATTTGTGAAATTGTTCGTCCCTAATGTCCATATATTATTTGAATTCTCAACAAATCTTTGTATGCATTTTAATTAATTTCAACTGTTTAAATAAAAAATTTCAATTGTTTTTGAATATGCACATAATTCTTTGTTTACTTTCATCAAATAAGAGTTGGAAAAATTTAATTAAGTTATAAAATATAGTTCTCGTAAGAACGATAATTCGGACTCAAAAGTCCACTATATTACTTGTTACTATATCATACACTTATGATAGAAAAAACGCAACAATATGTGCATATTCAGAAAATTGATTCAATTTAAACAAGTTGAGAATGAATAAGTCAGTCAAACAAAATGCACAGTACGAAAAGTGATAAGTAAAAGGGAAGAGAGAGTGCAAACGTTGTAATTGTAGAGGCTCGATCCCAACCAATAATTTATGACTTCCGTTACCAAACTCTCCGTCACGAATAAGGGGTTTTCACTAAATTTGATTGCCTTATGGTGCAATCAAAATCCTTACAACTCTTACGATTATCTTACAAACAAGGAGCACCGATCTTTATACAATACTAAACTTTCCACGACCTCAATACAAGACACGAATTTAAAGATAAATGATTTTATAATTTAAAACTTCTCTCTTAATAAATGATATAAACAAATTAAGTACAAAAAGAAAAATAGGTTAGCACTTCAATGAATAACAATGAATGAAACTCAAGTGTTATGTGAGAAAAATTTTGATCAGAAAGATGTTTTCAAAAGTTGATTCAATAAAGAGTTTTTCAAAATAAATGATTTGATAATGATAAATAAGAAGATCAATATAATTTTGCTTAAGAATATTTCACTTAAAAGCTATTAAAAGTGATGTAATGAATACATAGTGAAATGGTATTTATAGTGTTCAAAGCACCAAAAATTCTTAGTAATCGGACAATCAATCCCTATGTCCTCATTTAGAACCGGACAACCAAGGTAGCCATTGTGCGTTGGAATTCAAAAATGATGTTTTTCACTTAATTTTTAGGTAAGTAATATTGTAATAAATTTAAATATCAAAATGAAATATGTACCTTTTAAAGAATAAGTATTAAGAAAGTATTTTTATGAAATAATTTTTCGTGCATAAAAAATTATTCGTTGAGCTTTTCGTAATTCATTACTAAAGATTGAAGTATTGTACATTTACACATGAATACGAACATCTTAATCTAATATCTTCGTTTGAAGTTCTTTGTTTTGAATGTTTGACTTCCATCTCGATTTCCGTTGATCGTTCAATGCGATTCTTTTGATATTGACTTTTTATCCTCAATTGATCAACTTTGCAACAATAATTTTGAAGATTTAAATTCAATTATTAGAAATAAAATTAATTTATTTGTTATGATCGAAACATTGAGGATGAAGTCAATCATATATTAACAAAAATGGAAGATCAAATTTGGTCGCCCATTAAGTATCTTTCATTAATTTGGAGGACAACAAGTGACATAATACAATAGACTTGTGAAGTTTGAAATTAAGCCCCCGTTTGATTTGGATTAAAATACAATTAAAATTTCAAGTCAAAGTCAACAATTAATTTTAACTTCACATTTCACGTGATTCACAACTTTTAAACTATATATTTCACCAATTTTTATCAAAATGTACTAAAAAATTAATTTTAATCTCTACGCTAAATATATTTTAATAATTTAATGGACACAAATTAATGTTTAATCTTCGTTTGGATACAATTTATTAATTGATTTATAATTCCAGTTAAAGTCAATTATCAACTGTAATTATACATTCATGATTATTTCCATGTTTTATAGGATTTTATTCTATTTCTTTTATTGTTTCTATTTATAAATTATTTATAAATTTGTTGGAAGGTAGGTGACGAGCGAAATGTATCATACAAAGTGAGAAAGGAAAATGAAAAAGAGACTTGCCATGTATGTCATGAAAGTTGCCAAGTCACTAACCTCTGTTTCTTTGGCATTAGCTGTAACCCTAACCCCTCTTTCTAATTAAACAAACCTTTTGATTAATTGCAAAGTTTTTGCACCCGTCTCATTTCAGATCTCAATATTCATTTCAAATTCTCAATACACAGAAACAATCCGTTATTCTGAAATTTACCTCCAGTGATGGAGGATGCCTATTCCAGATCTGTCTCTGAGGTAATGTTTACACCTCTAATCACGTAATCACAACTAAAAAATAATTAAACTTTTTTCTACCCTTTGTTTCTTGTTGTCATTTAGATTTTGTAATTGGGTTTTGGAAATTGAATTTTCTGTGTTATTATAAGTGGCTTTTGGTCTTGAATTGATCTTCTTAATTTATTTAGAGGGACTTAAAGTGTGCAAAAATTGGCGTCTTTGGAAGTTTGACTTTGTTGGGCGAGTAGAGAAATGTTGCTATCGGGATTTTAATCCAAATTGGGCTATTTAAACTGGGTTAAGCATCTTTTAGCGATTCACTTTAAATATATTCTGATTATTTGGACAGGTTTTGGAGTTCTTCGCCGTGGACCCAAGTAAAGGCCTGACTGATTTCCAGGTACACCATTTTTCTTTTGCTCTTGAGGGTCGCGGTTGAATTTTAATTTTTAAATAGTTTAATCAAACCATTCTTGATCTTCATTAGCTTGTTATTTGAGTTGTAATCCATGTAAGAACTACTTTTAAATTGTAATAAATGTAAAAGATGCTTCAAATTGATCATAACTTTGTTGTTTCTTCATTTTTATTGAACTTGTTGTCTCCCGTCGGGTTCTAAGAATGTCATTTCTGGATGTTTTCAGGTGGCAGAACATGCTAGATTATATGGAAAAAACGGTGAGTACCTTGTTTGAATGATGCTTTAACTTTATTTTCAAGATCTCTACTGTGGTTGAAATTCAAGATGGTTAGAATACTGTGTTATGTTATAAATACATCTATTTGGTTGCAAGTTATAATGAATTTGTTTTGGAGTAACAAGTATCCGCTCTTGATGAAAGAAACAAACTTTACAATTTCCTTTTTAGTTGACATTAGACTGCGGACATCGAAGTTGAGCGTTTCGATTTAGTGAATAAGTTAGAGGTGAGCAGGATCTGTGAATGTATGTCACTGATTTATTCTTAATAACTAATACACAATATGCAGTGTGTTTGCATGCAGATTCTATTGCTTGTGAGGTGAAATGTTGACGTCAATGCAATCACATTTGCTTTGGGCTCTTCTTTTGTTTTAAATATTTGTTAGACATGAACCATCTTAGTTTTGTTTAATAAACAGACTAATAATAGAGTAAGGGCCTGGACTATGATTATTTGGAAGTGGACTGCAGCTGATTGTTCTTCTAGTTTTACGTTAAGATTTTGGAATATAACCTGTAGGTCTGTTTGGTTGTCCGAACTCCGAAAGAAATCAAATTAGGAATCTCAGTTTCTAGTAGTTAGAGTCCACGTAGGCAATTATCATGCTTATATTGTTTAATATGTATGCCAGAAAATACAGTCTCGGGTGATTAAAGTATCAAAAACGCTTCCCATTGTGCTAAACAAAGAAAACTTCTTGACAAACATTAGAAAAAAGGCTTAAGCTATTCCTTTTCTTTTCGGATATGCATGGTCAATGGAGATAACCTGCATAGTTTATTAAAATCAATCTCTGAAGCAATTACCCCGAGCCTCTAAGAAAACTACAGAATATTAGTGATGAAATAAGTATCTTGAGATGTTCAACTGTTCAGTTAAAAATATAAAGATTTTATAATACTTTTGCTAATTGAAAAATATGTTGTCTAGTTGAAATGCATTCCTTCAGTTGCCTTTTCACTCTATTTGACTAGGTGACCCCATCCTCGTGTTACTGTAATGAGTTTATCACGTCAGTAGCCATCTTATCATCCTTTTTTGCCTTTTTTCTACTGGACTCCTATATGATTTGAAGTATTAAATGGGCCTTGTATTGAAATTATTATAAAACATGTAACGCCCCAAAATTTCATACATTTTGAGGTGTTACCAACAATGATTTTCACGTACTTAAAATGCGGAACTGTAAAA